CTCCAGCTTGATGGTGGCAGTAAAAAGAACTCACACAATTTCCCATTCTTGCTACAATATTTTTCATGAAATCGAAAGCCTTTCTGCCCTGCTGGCAAACTACAGTTATTTGATTATGATAAGCTGATTGCAGAATAGTTCATCCCACATCCTGTATAAGTGGAAAACATCACAGCAGTGCTGCCCATTCCTTCCACTGCTCAAGGGAAACCATTGCCTAATTAGCAGCAAAGATGTGGTGAATAAGCCCAGAAAACTAACCCACCAAACAGCATCTTTACTGAAAAGAAAACCTCAATCCACTTGCAAAGAATGGGGATAGCACAGACTTAGATTTTCTTATTCCTCTACATGCCCTGATCTGGGTTAGAAAAAGCCACAGAAGAAAAGTAGTAAGGCAAAGGAAGATCCCTGCATTCACCATTTGTACTATCTGTCCATTTTCTTGACATATTTCTGGACTTTTCAGCGGTGAGAAAATACCAGCCATGTCCTAAGAGTTCTTCCTATCTCTTGAAAACTCTTCTAAGAGAATTTATACCAGAAAGTTCAAGGATATTGAACTTGTTAACACTTCTGTCACAGCTGTGAGTGTCAACTAGAACTAATTTTTTTCTAGCTCTGCCAGTGCCAGCATTGAGATTCCTGCTCCTACACTGTTACCTGACACTGCAGCATGCATCCTGAATGCCATTATGAGTCCCAGGTGCAGGGTCACCCACTGGCTTGGATTTCACCTGAAAAGAGCTGCTCAGAGCCTACTTGTTGCTGGGAGGGCTTTGGGAACTATTCCTCTCTTCTCATCAGTTCCTTCACCATCTGTCTCAAGACACAGAATGTTCCATTGTGTCCAGGAGAAAACAGGAGACACAGCTCCCCAGATAGGGAAGTACAAGGCTTTCCCAGCTGTTTCTTGGACTTTGAGAATCTTCCCAGATGGACTTTGAAAAGAAACACTGACTCCCTTGCCTCTGATGGGCAGTTTGCTATCTTCCATGGGCCAAGAATCCAAGCTGCACTGTCCCCATTTAGACTTTCTTAAGCTTTTCTATTTTTCTTCATAGAAGAAAAGGCTGGAAAAGAACTTTAAGATTATCTAATCCAAATTTTGACTGAATATTACCATGCCCACTAAACTATATTGTAAAGTGCCACATCTACTTGTTTTCTGAACACTTCCAAAGATGGTGACTCCACCACTTTCTAGGAGAGCCTATTCCAATGTTTAAACACTCTTTCAGAGAAGAAATTTTTTCCTGATATCCAACTTGAACTTCCCCTGTTGCAATTTGAAGTATTTTTCCTCTTGATCTATCACTTGCTATCTGGAAGAAGAGACTGACCTCTACCTTGCCACAGCTTCCTCTCAGAGAGTCGTAGAGAGCAATAAGGTTACCCTTGAGCCTTCTTTTCTCCAGGCTAAACAGCCCCAACTATCCCTCAGCTTGTGCTCCATACCCTTCACCATCTCTATTGCCCTTCTCTGGACATGCTCCAGCACCTCAATGTCCTTCTTGTATTGAGCATCCCAAAACAGAATACAGGATTTGAGGTGTGGCCTCTGTACAGGGAGATGATCCCTTTCCTGCTGGCCACACTATTCCTGGTACAAGCCAGGATGTCATTTGCCTTCTTTGTCACCTGGTCACACCCAGCCACAATTAACCAGCATCCCCAGGTCCTTTCCCACTGGGCAGATTTTCAGCCACTCTTCCCCCAGTCTGCAGCACTGCATGGTGCTGTTGCAACCCTGTTGCAACAGGACCTGGCACCTTGTTAAACCTCATACCATTGGCCTTGGCTCATCAATCCAACCTGTCCAGACCCCTCTGCAGAGCCTTCCTACCCTGCAGGAGATCAACACTTCTGGCCAGCTTGGTGCCATCTGTAAACTGACTAAAGGGGAGCCCTTTATCCCCTCATCTAGATTTTCAACAGATATTAAACATATCTGGTGCCTACACTGAGCCTTGGGGAACACTGCTGGTGGCTGGATGCCAGCTGGATTTAATTCCCATTGCCACAATGCTTTGGGCTTGGCCATCCAGACAGCATTTTACCCAGCAAAGAGTACACACATCCACGCCATGGCCTGCCAGTTTCTCCAGGACAATGCTGTGGTATATAGTATTAAAGGTTTTACTCAAGATTAGGTAACATCCACAGCCTTTCCCTCTTCCACTAAGTGAAGTTCACCCTGTCGTAGAAGATCAGGCTGGTCAAGCAGGATAAGCCTTTCCTAAATCCTTGCTGGCTGGGCTTGATCCCTTTGTTGTGCTGCACCTGCCACATGATGGCACTCAAAGTGACCTGTGCCATGATCTTTCGTGGCACCAAGGTCAGGTTGATGGGCCTGTAGTTCCCCTGTAGTTCCTCAGATCCTCTTTCCAGTACTTTCTGTAGATGGGTGTCACACTGGCTAACCTCCAGTCCCAGGTGACTGGAGGTTAGCCAGTGTGACACCCATCTGGGACCTCTCTGGCTAGCCAGGACTGCTGATAAATGGTGGAAGGTGGCTTGGTGAGCTCTTCTGCCAGTTTTCTCAGTGCCCTTGTATGGATCCCATCCAGCCCAAAAAATTTGGGAGTGTCTAAGTGGCACAGCTGGTCACTAACTACTTCCTCCTGGATTATAGGGGGCTTGTTCTTCTCCCTGTCTTTGTCTTCTAGCTCAGGGTGGTGGGTACCCTGGGGATATCTTATCTTGCTGTTAGAGACTGAGGCAAAGAAGGCATTAAGTAGCTCAGCCTCATCCTTGATGACAATATTCCCCTGCCAAGTCAAATAGAGGATGACGATTCTCCTTGACCCTTTTTTTTTTGTTATTAATGTATTTGTTATTTTTGACGACAGTAGCTAGATTGAGTTCTAGCTGGACTTTCTCCTTTCTAATTTTCTCTCTGCATGACCAAACTATATATCTGTACTCTTACTGAGTACATCTTGCTGCTGAGTACAAAAAACCACGTTTGCTTCTTTGTAAATAAACAAAACATTAAGTAATCTACAGTGTTTTTCTGTCCTTTGGGTGAGGGAAAATGATTAACAACTTTTCTAACAGGGAAGTAGGTGAAGTTTTGTTAGGACTAATATACCTTTAGCTCTCCTTCCTACTCCATACCCCAAGGAACTCAGACACTTAACAAGAAAGCAGAGGTGATCCTGTAGCAAGCTCCTGAGGATTGTCCTGCTGGCTTGGTATTTTTTCACACCCCCCAGCCCCCCAGCCTTGCTTTTTGTGAAAATGTCAGCTCCGGAGCTGGCAAGCTGCTCGCAGAGCTTTCGCAGCCATGCTGGGTGTGAACGTGTGACACACTGCGGCAGGAAGTGCTCGGCGTCAGATCTGGCGATAACCGGACCTTTCTTCCAGGAAGATGAGATCATGTGGTGATATGTGAGTAACGCGGGTTGTGAATGCCACTCGCAGTCATCTGGGGACCTTTTGCTGCTGGGTTCCCAACAGCCCTTTGGAAATGTCACACGGGGAGCAGTCAGTCCCTTCTCGAGCCCGTGAGAACACGGTGTATGGTTCTCAAACCCACAGAAACATGCTACGGCCGTGTCCATCAGTACCAGAGGCAAACCAAAGCTCAACAACAGCGCTGTGTGGAAAATACTGATGTGGAAAATATCAAGCTAACAGCCACAGGCACGAGTCCTCTCTTTATCTCAAGCTTAGAGACAGCAAAGATAGCAGTCACATTTCTCATCTCCTTTCCAAGATACCTTGTTCATAAATAGATACCACTCAGCCTCCTCCCACATCTCTTCCTTTTTTTTTTTTTTTTTTTTCAGCCGTGGAGAAACAGAAAGCAAGGGGTACTTGCAGTAAAAAATTCCTCTGAAGTCAGATCTGATCAAGGGTTTGGGTCCTTGGTTGATTCAAAAGCCTGTGGTGATAGATGTGGTATGCTTGCTTAGATAGATCAGATTGAGATTCTACATTTTTTGTTCTGCTGAAAACACCAGAGATTGAAGATTTTTCTTTCCAGGAAAATTTAATTCAAAAAAAAGTAAGGTTTTTGGCATTGAGAAATACTCTCAGATGGGTTCTGACCCACTGTGGCAAGCCCCTCATAATGTAAAGTTAGAAAAGCTATATATTAATACGTACATGCCTAAAGATGCTGCTTGTCCCTCATTATCTGTGGAAATTCTGGTTCAAAGTAACTTTTAAAAGTGAAATTAGGTCTCAAATCTCTTGAGTAGTTCTGAAAGCATTCCCAGTCAAACACTGCAGCTTTCTACCTACATTTAATGTTTATCTAATAGAATCTACCATGAGGCAACTATAGCAATGGCTTTTGGTCTTAAGCAGTCCCAGACTAAACCTGGTCCATTGACAGAGCTGAAAAATATCCCTGCACAGCTGCCAAAATGAACCCAAGTGAGCCTTGGCCCAGATAAACTCAATCCCGGGTCGATGTCACTGGCTAGAGCTCAGCCCTGAGTCAGGAGTCACCCATTTATTGACAGAATAATTCTGTTTACTCTGCTCTAGCTGCAGTGCCTCTGCTTTCTGTGAAAAACAAAGGGGCACATACAGACCTGCAGGACTGTAAGCAGAAGGTTGCATAGGAAAAGTAGCTGAGGAGGACCTGGGGCTGGAAGAAAAGCAAATGCTGCAGGCAGGTGTGACTGGCGGTGCAGCTGAGTTTGGGGAGCCCAGTGTCGGAAGACTGGGCAGCGAGAAGTGCAAGAAGACAAGAGGGAGTCTCTGAAGCTGGCACTGAGAGGCACTGTGCTTTGCTTTCATCTGATGACCACTGTGGTGACCAGACCTGCTCTGTACTGCTGTCTTCCCTCCTTCCAGCCATCTACCCCTGCCAGGCAGCATCTGCTCCATCCCTGCGCTGGGGAGCACGCACCCATGGGACCTAAGAGGGTGGCTAAGAAACACAGCAGTTGCTCAGCAACTCCCCGTCCCCCGAGGAGGACAATGTAAGTGATCTGCACAGTCTCCTGGATTGTTCTTCTCTGCACGGCTAGAGGTGCTCCTACCTTGACTTTTTCTGGATTTCCCCTGCTCAGCCTGCAGATCTTCTCCTGCTGTAAGCCTCCAAATCCTCCATTTCAGAAAAGAAAACAGTCATTGTGCAGGGTGTGCTGACCCACTGCAGCAGGATGGTGCGGGACAAAGGCCGAGCTGAAGGGACATGGCACCAGGTTATTGATCACTGAGGAGACCTTGAGCTGGGTAAATAGATGTCCTGCTTCCTCCCCCACTCCCTGCAGGTGTGAGTTGGGGTGTGGGCCAGGTCTCACAGGCAGCAGCAAGCTTTAGAGGTAGGTCTGCAGCTCTGGGGGAAACCCCAGTGCCTGCCATCAAATCTACTAACAAAGAGGCTCTTCTGCTGCTTCCTGCCCTCCCTCCCCTGCCCCTCCATCTATGGTTGTGTGCTTATGCCTGCTGTTTCTGAAGGGATGCTGTGGTAGTGGAGAAGTGCTCTTGCTCTCCTTGACTGCCCAGTTTGGTTCCTTGGGAAGGAGACCCTTCCCAGGGGTTGCACAGAAAGGTGCCCCACAAAGAGCAAGGGAGGGCAATCTGTGCTGGGCCTGTTTGTACAGCCTGCCCCTCTGGAAGGGTGTGTTAGAGCAAGTGGATGTGTGACTGCTTGTCAGAGTGTGGATGTTCACCAGGCTGGGTTTAATGTTCTGGTGTGAGTTACCTGGTGCTTACATTCTGCAAATGGGTCTCCATGTTGCGAGGCAGCCTGGAGGGCTTGGGGCTCTGTAACTGGGGGAGGAGGCTGAAAAGCCCATTCATCCTTATCAAGTGATGCTCAGTGGCACCCACATGGGCTAAAACTTGCATGAGGCCAGCCACCTCTTCCCTCGGCTGTAGCAAGTCCCTCCCATGCATTCCTCTCCCCATGTCCACATGCAGCACTGGGAACAAAGACAACTTACACACAGACAGGATACAAGCATTCCACAAGACCTCTGCGTTCTTCCATGCAAATGCATCCACATCCCTTTCCTCTCCAACCACAGAAACACAGAAAACCTTTGAGGGCAGGCATGTCATGTGTGATGGCAGAGGAAAGGAGGAGGAAAGTGGGTAACAAAACCAGTAATAATGTGGCTCTCTTGGGCAATGGTATTTCTCACCCTCAGAGTGTGGGGCTGAGAGGAGAGAAGCAGTCAGGAAGAAGCAAAAGAAGCAGCGTGGGGGAGATGAGGGGCAGAGGAAGATAGGTGTCCTCTGGCACAAGCAGGTGGTGGTGAAGGGCTGAACATTATTCAGGTGCTCTCTTCTCATTAGCTCAGCTAATGAGCCAGTTCCAGCATTGGCTTTGCCTGGGAACACACGGCCTGGTGGGAATGGCAACATTTGCTTACTTTTAGGGATCAAGGTAAAAATGGCACAGCAGGCAAAGTGTAACTTCACGTTCCCAGGCAGTGGCTGCTTTGTGCAGCTTTTGCTCACATTTCAGGTCACAGATTTTCTTCTGCATTGATTTCTAGAACAAAAAAAATACCAGTTTTAAAACAACTCCCAGCCTGGGAAGACAACATTTTTGTATTCAGAAAAATTCATTATTGTACTAATTTTCAATTTTGACAGAAGCAAAACACAGGGAATGCCTTTGAATACCAATGGATTACCAGGAGATGTAGACAAGACAGTGTCCTGGAAGCCTGTCTCCCACTGATTTAGCAGTTTTACTCACATTTGCTCTGAGCAAAGTCTTTGATGATTTGCACAGTGTTCTCTTGGGGCCATAGATCTGGGGAGAAGAGGACAGATTTGGCATAATACCTTCAGAGAAGCTATAAAGGGAAACAGAAAAACCAGCCTGACCCTGGCATTCTGTGTCACCAGACGCACCTGATGGAGGCCGAGGAACAGGAGGAAGACTCCAGCTCCCTCTCAAATGACAAATCAGAAACTAACTCACATCGCTGCCTCCGCTATGTGCTGCTTGGGATAGCCTTTCTTGTGCTGGCTGGAGCTGCTGCAGCAACCTGGTATTTCCTAGGTAAAAATTCACATGTTTTTCCCCCCCAGCAGGAGGTGGAGGAGGGGTAGTCAAAGCAATGCCCAGCCCAGAGCACATTAGTGACTCTGGGTGGCCTTTACATAGTCATACACAGGGGCAACCTCCTCTTTCCTATGTATCACTCAGGTAACCCAGTAGTGTCTTCTCTTGGCAGACTACAGACCATGGCATCTGGAGCCATCCATCCTGCAGTTTTACTGTGGCAGCCTCCAGGTCCTCAACCGCCAGTACTCCCCGGACCTCGGGCAGGTGGAGTCCAGAGCCTTCTGGGTGGAGTCAGCTAAGCTCCAGAACATGGTGAGGGCTTTTCATGAGCACAGCCAACCCTGAGGCTGCTCAGTGAGTAGAAGGACTCAGGCATTCCCATTCAAGGACAGGCTTGGTGGGATGAAAGATGGGATCAGCCACTGTAACATTGCCCTATAGTAATCAGACAATGTTCTCATTGCAGCTGAAGGAAGTGATTCGTGCCACAGAGCTGGGTCGGTACTACAACTCAAGCACAGTGTATGCCTTTGGGTGAGTAGCACCCACAGCATATATGCTTGTTCCTGTGTGAAAGCTTCCAGTAAACTGTACTCTGGTTTCACTGAAATCTGCCCATGACAAACTTCTGCAGTCCCTGCCATGACCTCCAAGCTAGGCTAGACAGTCCAGATTCAAAATGGTTCCAGTATAATAGAGATGGAGATATTTTGATGTTCCTCTTCATCCCAGCTCATGATGAAAAGCCAAAACTGAGAAATTTTTCAGAGAGGCAAAAGTTCAAGAGAGTAAAAAAAATCATTGGGAAGAGATTAAAAAAAAAATGTCTTGGCATTAGAAACCAAGCAGCTGGGAATTAATTTTTCTAATTCAAGAAAGCTGTTTTATGGCTGACTCTACGCACCAGAAGGGAGAGGCCAGAATGCAGCATGGAAAAATTATTCCTGCAAAGAAGCCTGGACCACCTGGGAACGGGATAACAGTGGAATGGGACAGATGTGGGACTACAGCTTTGCAGGTCATAACAGTAGAACAGGATAGCAGAAATTATTTCCAGACTGATGGTCATTTTCTTCTGATTTTTTCCCTATGAAAAGCCAACCCCTAAATTTGTCCTTTACCTAAGGAACATTCCAACTTTGATGTAATTCCATTTTCAGCTGGGGAAAGAAAAGTTTAACTTGCACATCCTGCTCTAGCCTTTTACTGAACAAAGATGTGTTTCAAAATCTTCTTGCCCTCCTCCAGCCAATTTTCTCTGCCAGCTGGTTGAACAGAACTTTACCAGGCACAGTCTCCTGCAGCTTTAGCGTGGCCAGCATTAAGGGGTTGTGATAAAGTACCTAGTTATAAATCATCCACTTGTCACCACTGGGAGATGAGACAGTGAAGTCCTGAGTTTCTCTTTTCAACCCATGGTCAGTAGTACCCAAAAGCCATTTCTACCTGAAATGAGACTACTCATTAGACTAGTCTTGATTAATTATCATAATAATTTGAGCGCATATGGTCATCACTAAAGCCAGATGGCATGGAGAGGCTTCTTCCCTCAAAGCACTGACTCACACCATGGATATTGCAGCTCTCCTGCCCCACTCAGAGACGTTCCTCTGGGTTACAGCAGCAGAGTTGGAAAATCTACACTGATATGTCTGATTTATGGAAAAATAGTGGGGAGAGTAATTCTCCAGGGTTTGTCTCTCCAGTAATTCTGGAGACGAAGAGAAAAAATATTTTACATGCTATTTCTCTGTTAGGGAGGGAGCTCTGACCTTCTTCTTCTGGTTCACCCTCCAAATCCCTGAGAGTCAGCAGAAGGAGGCAACTGCTGAGAGGGTAAACACAGTGCTCCACCAAGAGCTCTCCACCAGCTTCAACAGCTCAGGCAGCCTGTCCTACCAGAAGGAGTACAGAGTCAACCCAGACTCTCTGGTTCTCCTGGGTAAGTACCAGCTGCTCAGCTGTGGCCTGAGCAGTCAGAAATGCTCCATGATGTAGAAGGTTAGGAGAAAAGGCCAGGAGTCTATTGAAGGAGACAGAGGAAACCTGAATAGGATGAGAGAAATAGTAAGGATCAGGAGATAAAATTTTACACATTTTTTTCCTAATAGAGAATAACTGAGCTTTGATTAAAAAAAAAAAATCCTTCCTTTGAAGGATTAAAAATATTGGAGATACACCTGACCATGATCAGATAGGTGATTCTTTTTTTCACCCATCAGCTTTGTCTTTTGTAGAGCAAGGTCTTAGGTCATGACTTTGATCAGCTCAACTTGAAAATACCAAGCACTTAGGTTTGCTACTTTCCTTTGGGAGATTATTCCAAACTGTTTGATAGAATAAAAGCAACATATCTGAGTCACCACTAAGTCTTCCTCTGAGACAAAGCATCATTGTCACTTCAGTTCCTGACATACGATTTTAAGGATTATTTATTGTTGCTCACAGTGAAGGTCGCAGCCTGTTTTAAAAGCCACCCATGCAAAACTGCTCCAGAGTAGGTGTTAGGTAAGGGACTAGGGATGTATATGTAGTCAATGCATACAAATCCAATGGAATTTATATCTGATTATTGTAATGAGGCTTAATTTGTGAGCCTAGTCTGTTCCCTCTTACAGAGTACCAAATCTCATAGGTTTTACAATACACTGTGTTTCTTCTCCTCCTCTTAGGGCTCCTATTTCCAAGTTTCTTCTTCAAATGAGATGTTGAATCTCCAAGTTGTTTGGGTTTTTTTGTTTCTTTTTTTTTTTCCCAGGCATGCAAACTTGCATTATTCTAAGATCAAGCTTCTTTTATTATATCCTACCCATACTCTCTAACTTTTACCCCCACATACCAATTGTTTTGTGGGTCATTTCTGGGTGCCTGTAAAGAAAATTCAATTTCCTCTAAATTATTTTCACTCCCTCATCCAGACCATCATTTTAAGGTCTTAGTCAGAAGCTGCATTAGCATCTTATCAAGACATCTCCTCCCACGGTTACCATTAGTTCCTTACTTCTACTTAGGATTTGTTTTCCAGCATACCAGATCCTATGCTCAGCCAATTTAAATGAACTTCCTTTACAAAGATATCACAAAGAAATATGCTAAA